GTTTCATTGGTGTGTATATTTGTTTGGTTTCATTGGTGTGTATATTTGTTTGGTTTCATTGGTGTGTATATTTGTTTGGTTTCATTGGTGTGTATATTTAGAGGTCTAGCATTTGCGTTTGTTGCCACTGTTTTGTCCAAAAATTGCATAAGTTGCCACAAAAATAGCGTACGTTGTCATACAAGTTGCCATTAATTCTCAAGCTTTCAACTCTCTGTGATGACGTATATAGCAATAAATGTTGGTAGAGGTAACTGAATCTTAAGCAGCAGAATTTCTTGTGCTCAGTTTTAGTTTTAAGCATCCAGAATATCATTTGTAGCCACACAGAGTGTAAAAAGTAAAAATGTGAAAAATAAAGTTTTTTTGTTTTGTTTTGGTAAAAATGTTGTACGGTGCCCGCAACAGCTTAAGGTCTTATGAGCGCGCGGGACACAAAACCCGTTTTTATTGGGAAGAAATAAATTTTGAATTTTGATCGGGTGGCGGCCGAACCCAACTCCTATCGAATTTGGACCACCAAGAGATTTTTAACGTGCGCAACGTGCACACGGGACTTCCGAGATTTTTAGCCCTTATTTAGGAAGGCTATGTATTAGATCTTACCTACCCTAAAATCAGTGATACGGCTGAAAGACAGCAGTAAGAAGGAGCCAAGGAGTAGAAGTAGAAAAGCTGCAGAAAGAGTCAGGGGCCTAGAGGAGGGGGTAAATGGGGGTGGGGGTAGGGTGGGGCAGAAAGTAGAGACGAAAGCATACGACAGAACATGGTTTAGAGAGCAGGAACGAAGGTCAAAGGAGAAAATTTTAGAGATAATTTTCCTTTATTCCTAGGTTTCGAACCTGGGACCTATTGAACGAGAGGCTAACACAGTAACCTCTAGATCACGAGAACCCCCTCCGAATTCAACGTCCACTTCTGATAGAGCTTAGCAGACAAATTGGAAAATCAACTTCCAATGAAGAGATAGAATGGTGTCCGTTGCATTAATTGTACCAATGATAGTAAATAACAAGATGGGCCACTCAGCCAAAAAAGTGTCCGCAGGAAGTATGCTCTTTGCTTCAGATGGCGCTGC